TCCCAATACCGAACCCTGGGGGACTCCAAATGTGTACACTTATCACTTTTGTATGACACTTAACATTTTCTTAATTAGTAACAACTGTCTCTCCTGTTTGATGCAGGGATACTTCTCTTGGTGGAAAATTCTGTTTACCAAAGCATCTTTCTTTCCTCTCTTTCTTTTATGAATTTGTATCTTGCTGAATATAATTATGCTGTTCTCCACTGTACACCCATGTTCAGAAGTTTCCTGCCACTTCCGGCGGGACAAGTTTTCCCTGTCCTCCATCACAGTTGGTCAGTTCATACTACAAAACAGGGGTTTGTTGGGTCCTGCCATCTTGCTTGAAAGGCTAAGAAGCCACAGAAGCTGGTTCAAAAGACTATAAAAAAAGACAGTAGTATCTCCTCACCTTTTTCCGTTAGCTACTTGAAAATTAATCTGAAGATGTTCAAATGTTCACGAAGAGCTATTACATTTAAAATGTTTGAGGTCTGCAAGTATTCCTCAGGCACATCATGGCAAAGCACTCTTGCAGAAACTATCTCCGCCTGTATTTCTATATTGTGTCCCTTAATTACTTTGTCAATTTTGGCTGTTAGGTATAAAACTTCTCATGTGCTAAATCTGACTCCATAATCTCCTTTACATAGTGAGACATCTTTACTTCATATACACACCAGTTTTGATTATCTAGTTTTTAACCTCTGTTTTAATAGAATTCCGTGTTTAAATTAGGAGAATGTCTCTGAAACTAACAATACTTCTTTAAAACTACAAATTACCTTTCATCTCCTTTTTTCTTTCTAACACTTGCAATGCTGGAAGACTTTGTATAAGTGTAACTATATTAGCGAGAATGCGATATTAACAGCAAAAAGTTAAATTTTGACATAATTTCATTTAGGCACAGAAGAAAACACAGCTAAGTACCCAAAAATGGCCTTTGAGCCAATTTAAACAATTTATTTTCAATATATACTAATGAAACACTTCTAAATGGCAATATTTCCATTAACTAATTCTATTATCCAGGAAGTCTTCAAGTATTTAAAGGATAAATTAATGAAGCATATATGTAATCTTTTAAAAATAGAAAAAACCCCTGTATACAAAATTTCTTCAATTTTTAGTTATAGTACTACCTTATCAACAGAGATATGTTTTACAGACTTGTGTGGAATTAAAAACATTAAGACCTCTTAGTCTCAGCAATAAACCTCTGCAGAAGTGTTTCTCTTATTTATAAATACAACCATAATGATGGCTACTTTTTGTAGCCATCTTCAGCACTTCTATTATCTTTCAGAGACGGCATGATACTAAACAAACCGCCCCAAGCCCGCCAACTCTGTACTTAGATGTTTTCAACACAGTTTTTCAATAATAGTAAAAACCAGTATTTATTGTAGAAGAAGAGTGATTATTATTTTAGTTACTTCAAAACTCACCACCATAATTAAGTGACTTTTCAGGAATTTTTAGGTGGACAGGAATCAGAGCAGGCTGTAGTAATTTCAAGAGATGTTACCACTTAAAAGAACTGAGACTAAAGTAAAGTCTGAGTAAAAACAAAGTTCAGTTATTTGAATTTCTGCTTTTTCCTTGTTTGAAACTCTTCGGTTTTGTTTTTGACAGATTTTATTAGCATTGATAAGGCAGGATCCATGGCTTTCTTAGCAACCTCTCCTTTCTTTGCCATCTTGTTCTCCTGCCCCTTGATTGCCTCCTTAAGATCTTGCTCCTTTTCTTCTCTTCGGCGAGCTTTCTCTTCCAAGATCTTTTCTACTGCTTTTGTCTTCTTGAAATTTGGATCCGAAGGATCCAAATTAAACAGGGGAGAAGTAAACATGGCTTGGAATCTTGTGTCAGCAACATTTACCTGAGGGCAGAAAAGGACTATTTATTTTAGGTAATCTTTACCCACAATGAGCTGCTTAAAGAGTCATAGCTCATGAGATTTTTCTACCATTCCTGGAACTGCTCCAGTCACAAAATCTCCATGAGTGTGAAGTAGAGAGCCAGAAGATAGTATTAGTAAAACAGACAAGTGAATGCTTGTACAAATTCTGTATATGCCTCTAGTGGCAGACCAAGGGAAGGTTTGTTGTTGCGAACTCACCAGGACGAAAGCAGAGGTGCATAACAATCAGAACAAACATACTAATGAGTATTTTAGACAATGAGTTGTACAAGGCCTTGCATAAATAGCATCTTGTTTACAAGGCCTTGCATAAATAGCGTCTTGTTATCTTACACAAAGTTTAAATCTGTTCCACTTCAACATATTTCTTCCTTTTTGAGAACAGCCTGTAACTCCCTTAAAAGGTAGATCTAGGTCATTCTCCTTCAGATAGAGTAAGGGAGGTGAAAGATATGTGACCACCAACTTTGTCCTGAAAATAACTGATATTACCAAAGGTTCTAGCTGAGTATACCATTACCTGGAAGTCATCTTCTAGTAATTCTTTCTTTTTCATTAAGAGTTTCTTTTTCTTCTTGCTCAAATTCTGTTGTTCTACGATCTTTTTATAATTAAAATGTTTTCTGTTATCATCCTCATCATCCATCATAAGCAGGGCCATTTCAGCCTGTTACAAAATAAGAAAGTCCATGTACGCAATGAAATTAAGTTTTCAATGAAAAATCTAGCAGTCCATTAATAAAGTCTGTATGAGGCTACATACATGTAAATGAGTTGAAATAGGATTGTCAGGGAAGTATTATTTCATCCATAACAACATTCTTTTAACATTTTGAGGTATAATATTCAATACGATAGGTTGATTTTATTTTTATTAGATATAAAATTAATGCAAATACCCACATTCAACCTTCAAACATCCTAACAATCTAATCTGAAAATTGTACAGCATAACTTAGAAATCATTATCAGATACAATTATATATTGATATTTATACAGCAAAATAAAAACAAACATATATGAATTTAATAAATTTATTTAATTAACTTATTATGAGAAAGAATGAAAAGCAAACATGCAATAACAAACAATTCAATCTTCAAGGGTAAAAGGGCAAGGTTGAACACACAAATGTTTCATATAATGCTGATGTTAAGAGTGAACGTTCAGTACTGTCCAACAGGCAAACATACTGGGATAGCTTTAGAGCTAGAGGGACTATCAGCTCAATCAGTATATGGCCTCTGCACCCTCACATTTCAGTGTTACCTAACCCTGTGAATGGCTGTGTTCAACTATAATCTTCCAGCAGAATACCATAAAGTAATGTTAAAACATCAAACCATGGGCCATCTACCATTCTTCCTGGGTAATTTTTGTTCCAAAAGCTCTTGCTATTAAAATTATACAGTTTTCTTCTCTTGCCGTCCTATGGAATTTAGTAGTTCCACTCACAAACATATAACAAATACTTGCAGAAGTCAGGCAATGCAACACAAGCAATTCTTAGCATTTTAAACCACTTTACCTTCTGTTTTTCAACTTCATTTTCATCTTCTGAGGTACTTTCAACTGATTCTGGCTTCTTCTTTAAACCTAAGTGCAAATATAGGACATGCATGCACTTTTTCAAGCTTATGCATAAGAGCATAATTTACCTATGAATAGAAGCTCTAAGTGCATTTCATTTTCTTGTAATCAATACTTAAATGTCAGATGTGGAAAAAGACTGAAAAGAAAAACCACCTAGATTTAAAGCAATAAAAATCCACTGAATATTTGTTTAATTTAAGGAGGCAGCAATATTCAAATGTCATAAACAAGTCAACAACAAAAAAGAACAGTTAAAAAGAATTTATTTATTGTATTTTTTAGAGAGTACCACTCCACTCCCAGGGCATTTTAAAGATAGATTAGTTCATATGCTCAGAAACGTAATTGAAGTGTCCTGCAGTTCTCAAATTGTTCATCCTTTCTACTTAAATAGACAATGAATAAATATTTTAGAATAAATAGCAAATGTGCGTATCTTCTCTGTATCCAGAATACAAGTCTGACAGCTGAAAAAGAGTATATCAGTCAAAAAAAAAAAAAAAAAAAAGACAAACAGTTTTTAAAATTTATATGCAAGGCTAGACGACCATATTGTGCTGTTAGTACCGCAAGTACAAAAAAACCCTTGGAAATAAGACCTGAACAGAATCACAGGAATGAAAATATGATTGACTCTGTTCAGACTGAATATTCTTCTGATGAAGCTCTCTTACTCTCTTCGAATTTACTTTAGATACACAGTGCTGATTAGACAGACATAATGAATAGCAACAGCATAAACCATTAGTCAAATGTAACTTTTAATGTAAACAAACCCATTTACAAATCCTACAACATCAAATTACTCTCTTTGGAATGCCTGTAGAGCTCGATCAAGAAGGAGCAGGAAAAGCAGAAGGTTTCTTGACCTGAACCATGTACCCTGACCTTTGAATTTGGAATTACATTCCCAGGCAATTTATTACAGTCCACTGGGGGTACTCTTTAAGGAAGATATTTGGCTCCATTTTGTTAAACCAGATTTGTAGTCAGACTAGAAAACCAAACACGCCAGAAAAATGTCAAGTTACATCACTAAGTATAACCTGGAACAGGATACATTTCTTGAAGAACAATTTTTCCTCCCTTGACTATTTCTAAATGGATTCCAAGTTGGAAATGGATTTCTAGAAGAAATAAACCACTACCACCAAAAAATAAACTATCCAGATGCACAATGGCATCAGATCAAGAACTAAAATGTTAATTTAGTGGTTCAAGAAAATGTGCCGGAAAATCAGATTCAGCTATAATATTGTTACCTAACCTACAAAATTTATGTTAGTGTGTAGAAGGAAGAAATAAATGTCTTATGTAAGACTTCAACAACTCTGAAATTTTTTGTATATTCCCAGAAGTGGCTAAACTATAGAAAAGGAAATAGGGTGCAGAGATACAATTGGAGACAATTATTCTAGAAGTTAAATCAGTAAATCGCTTAGCCTTTCCACCCATCCCGGAAAGAAGGGCTCCTCAAGTCATCTTCCCTCGCCTTTCACTATATGTAGAATCACAGAAGTGAAGACAGCGTTATCTTCATGCCTTCAGAGACTTCTGTTGCTGCAGATGGGGGTGAACCAGGCACTAGGATCCAGCTATTTGTTTCTTACTATGACCCTGTGCAGCTAACAAAAACAGCTTGGTACCTGAAATCACTCTGAGCACTTAAAACTTTGCATCATGCTGAAAATAATTTGGGTTTCAGAATTCACAAATACATAGTTTTCTTTCTCCTGATGTAGTCCCTCTCCCCACATACATTCTGGAAGTCCCCCCCCACCTTTTGCACACATATAAATGTAAAACCTGTAATAAGAGTCCTCCACAAATTATTCCACACCCTCAGATTTTACCTACCACCTAATCCCCACTGCCATCTTTTAATCAGATTTAGTCCATGCTACAGCAGTAGTTACTTGTCTTCAATGCTATGCAGAACTGAAAGCTGCCACCAGCCAGTGAAAAAAGCTTCTTGTCTCTGCTGCAAGTTCCCCTCAAGCTGCCATTCAGCTCTTTCTCAGCTCAAGAATTCGGTTTCCAACATTCATTTTGCACATCAGCAACTTTCTAGTGCTAACAGTAAAAGCTAATGATAATTTTGACACTTCAAATACAGAGACCAACCCCAGACCAAGTACTCCTCCCACAAGACCTCCCATATGTCTTACTCAGAAGCTTGAAAGTCAGTCTAAAATTCCTTGCAAAAACACACAGGAAATGAATCAGTAATACAGCTAAGACCTTTCTCTTCCAAGTTCACATTCTACAACGATACCCAGAATTTGTTGCTAACCTCTTATGATCCCACAGTCATAACTGCTACCTTCCAGCATTAAAAAGCCATCAATTCCTACATATATCATAAATTAGGTCATGAGAAGGCATTAAATGGTTTGGAACCTATAGAAGTTATTATAACGTGTAAAGACATTCTTTTCCTCAAAGAAGGATCAATAGAAACTGTGTTTAATAGTCTAAAGCATTCTGAAACTATTCAGCAATCCCCAAAAGCAGGACATTGCTCTCAAGTTAATAAGTAATTGTACTATTCAGCTATCAATCCTCTAACAGTTGAAGCTACAAAAGTAATTCTGTCTTACGTGAACATTTTCTGAGACCCCATAGAAATAGATGCAGTAAGACTGAAACTGGCCAAGGCAAAATAAAGTTTTACAACACTATCTGAAACAATATGTGCATCAATGTAAACCAAAGGTGACAAATTATTTTTTTCTCTAGACAACCAACTAGAATCAAGCTTCTGAAATGCAACATCAAGGCTTATATATATGCAGCATTTTACATGTTTGCCCATAGTACACACAGGGATTATGAACATATGAAAACTTTGTGCAAAGCAAGCACTGTCACAAATTTCTGGAGTGCTCATTTGGACCACCTGCACCCTGCACACTCTCTTTGGGTATAGCATGCACAACAAATTTGCTTTACCTTGCCTCTCCCAAGATGAAGCATCCACAGTGTCAGAATCACTGCCTGCTTTACAAACAGTTTTCAGGAGCAAAGACAAACCTGATGAATATACGCTTGAGTAGACTTCCCATAACTTCCAGTTTTCCTTTCACAGCACTCAAATTTGTTAGACCCTTTGTCTAACAGCTCCTTACACTCCTGCTTCCCTTCAATTGCCTCAGCTTGTCAAAAACTAATTTATACAAGACCCACACACATTACAGTCAACAAGCGAATCCAGCATGGGAGCAAATACATGGCTGCAAAAGCCTAACAGCACTACTGCATCCTCAGTTTGTCATGGTCTACCTGAGTCTGCACACATATCCTGTCATCTGCTTTTTCAGCATAATCTAAGATCATCTGGCAGTCAGTTTAAGGGAGAAATTTAAATCTTTCAGTGGAGTTGTGAAAGTCTTATGAAAAATTACGATCATTCAAGTTAATGCTGCCTGTACCCTAAATACAGAGTTGGCAGAGGTACAGCCTAGTTCAAAGATGATTGCAACCCATTTTCCCCAACTGGATAAACTAGCTGTGCTTAAAAACAGCCCCAGCTTTGAGACAAAAGCTGTTCTGGGTAAACTTGGTGAAAGCCAGACAAAGTTATGCTGTGTAATCATCGTTAAAATGTCAACTGGCTTTCAGCCAACCAGTGTACTCTCCCTTTAAAACTTCTCCAGGGTTAGCCACATTCTGTTTTCCTCCTCTTTCTTAGTAGCTTATCAGTAATCTTGCAGACAGTAGTTTCACTTTCTTAACTTTTATGTCTGTTTTACTATCCCCAAAGACTCCACGCACACTAAAAGCCTATCCTCTATGTAATAGACAAGAAGGTTTAATAATCTGCAGATATGATCATTCTCTTCTGAGCCCCTCCATGACAAAGAATTTCTTACATAACACAGGAAAAAACATTTTTTTTCAGAGACTTCACATAGAACATTGAAACATCAAGCATCAGCATGAGAATACCTACATAATCTTCCTCATTACGAAAAAAAAAAAAGTGGTGGAAGGAATTGCATCTTTACAATGAGTCCTGAAATAACCTATACACAACTCACCAGGAAAGCACGGCAGGAAACAGCATTGCATAACTATAAAACATGGATAGGACTCACCCTACTGTTCTGTACTTCAGACTTTTAAGACATATACATAAGCGCATTAAGACACAAAGAAGGCCAGGTTTTGTTTTTTAATTATTTACTTTCTCCTAATACAAACTTCAAACAATCAGAACAGAAGCCTGTGCTAACTGGTATCAAATTAAAAATAATTTGTTCTTTTTAAATGGAACTTGGATCTGCACTGCTATACTCAAAAAAAACCAAACAAAACAAAAGACTGGTGATATTTGTAAATCTGTTACTATATTAATTTAGTTTGTTTCTTTGTTTTAATACTACTACTTTTTTTTCTGCCTTTTTTTCTTCTTTTAATATACAGTAGTATGAGCCACCCTTAAGTTTTGGCTCCCAAAAGCATGGAAAGCCAGGAACTCACACTTATTGATTATCCTTACCTTAAAATTTTAACCAGCAAAATCATACTCAAAATAAATTTGCTGTTACCACAGCAAAAGTTAACTTAAACATCAGACCACAAAGCTTGTAAAAAAGGTATCCTAAAAATCTACACTAGACAAGTTCTTTCCTCAAATACTACATTTCACTATTTGGGTTTCTAGGCAGCCAGAGTACACAGGTAAAAATGTGTATCAGACTAAGAGAAAAGAAAATTGATTTCTTCTGAAAGACAACATTGTTTATGATGCAAAAACATCTGACATTTATGTCATTTACCAAAACTTCAACAAAACCCATACATATTGGGCTCCTCCTGTATGAAAGGAAACAGGCTTCAAAGGCAATGAAGTTATTTTCTCTGGAATATTTAGGGGAGCAGATGGTCAGCTTGTTTCTAACAGCTGTCTGCAGAAATTCGCTATATAATGGTCTCCAATAAAAAGCTAACAAAACAATGTTTCCCGCCCTTCCACATATCACGATATGCATCATTTTACAAGAAAACCACCTGCATTTTGAGGCAAATAACACCTACTTTATTGCATTCTGAACATGCTACCTCTGCATTTACTCTAGCCCAACTCTGTTTCTAAAGCTCATTATTTAAAGAAAGGGGAGATTTATTCTAGAAGTTACCTGCCTGGACTCACCTGTTTTCTCAAGTTCTTCGGCAAAATATGGGTCATTGAGATCAACATCAGGTGGAAGTTCATCTTCACTCTGTTCTCTCTCAGCAGTAGCCTGTAACAAAGCACAAACATTTCAATCAATATCTAAACTAATACTTAACTTTCACTGGAATTAGGTGTTCCTTCTGTTACTAACTATGAAGATGAAAACTGAAATACTGTGTGCTGAACAACCTAAAACTAGAATACACTAAATATTGCTAGTAAAGACAAATCAACAATTTAAAATCTGTTTCACAGGCTGAAAGCTTTTTGTTTTCCTGAAGAAGGGCTATTTATATCATAGAATCATAGAATGGAATGGACCTTAAAGATCATCAAGTTCCAACCCCCCTGCCATGGGCAGGGACACCCTCCACTAGACCAGGTTGCTCAAAGCCTCATCCAGCCTGGCCTTGAACACCTCCATCACAAACTGTGATGCATCAGCTAACCATACCAACAAATTACTGGATCACAGCATTGTCATGTCCTTACTTTATGTTCCTCAAAAACTCTACTTGGGGAAAAACTTGAACAATGAGCTTCATTTTGTGCTCTGAAATTAAAAAAACCAAAAACAAAACTGCATTTGGATTTAAAAGAACAAATTTTATTACTGGAATTATTTTGTCATACACCTTGCCCCTTGACTTAATTTATCAGACTGAACAAGAATATTATGGTAGCAAAAGTTGCTCTACTACTTAACAGTGCTACTTAATCTATTCAGAGCACTCATTTTCTGTAAGGTTTAAGAAGTTACTCATCAAATGCTAGCTGGAATACACACCATAACTCAAGTTGTAGAGATTACTCTTTAAAACATTCTGCAACATGAATTCAATTCAGGGTAATTTAAGAATTTAGGAAAGCTACTCTGTGACACATGCTTTTTTTCCTAGCGTATGCACAAACATTTCATTTATCTGCCTATTTCTGCACATTACTGCCACAGGAGTCAGTTACTGCACAATTACTTTCTGTGTGTGGAATGATGAAGCAAAAGCAAATTTCACATTACTCTAGGACCCCTCTGCTATTCATACACAGATCCATTTACCAAATTTGCTCTTGCAATTTGAAATCTGAATAGTTTTTTGTGGCTCTTAATTCTTTGCCGTTACAGCTTTGGGAAACAAGTCTGTATTATTTCAGGCCAAAAATTTCCAAAACTAGAATTATCATTATCATAACAACTTTGAACTGATATGCATACTGTAGCAAAAAAAACCCTTCCTAATGCATTCAAAACTATAAATTAAAAACCATCTGTTGACTCATTTATCTTTAAAGCAACACAAGTAGATAAACAAAATTTTGTGTAAGCATATTATGCATGATCAGTAGTACCCTGAACATCCTTTAGCTCTGGAAGTCTGAGTACTCTTGGTCACTCCAAACAAGTGACCACTGCACGTTCAAACATTAAAATAGCACTAGAAGCTATATAGTTTTTATTTAGTTTATCCAAAACAAACAATAACAGCAACTGATGAAAATAAACAAACAAGAACTCCCCCCCCCAATGGTCAACACTACCTTTCTCTTTTTTTTAAGAATTCTTTTTTCTTTCTTCTTCTCTAGATATTTTTGCCATGGAGTTAGATTATCCTTTCCTTCCAACCTGTTTTTGACCATTTCTTCAGCAGTTTCTTTGAGGCCTAGAACAAAAAAATAATAAGTTAAAAGAAATGAGATTAATCTGATTTATTCTTTTTTTAAATCAACTGTTTTCTCCTTTGTTAAGGAATAATCTAGTTTTTAACAAGTCTGTGAAAACAAGATAAATATTGCTTCAAACAACATCTTCATAAATAAGATAACTTTACAGGATATGTTATTCCAAATAAAACATCCCTGCAGTAATAAATTATACGAGAGTCAGAAAAAGAGCTTGCTTATGTGATAATCCAATTGCTGACACTCTTGCTATTCTTCATAACGGTCTCCTCTCCAGACATCAGACTGTACAGTCTACCGATGCCATTTTTACGCATGAGAGCAACACAATAAAAATAACAACAGACAAATACAGAGCCCTTATATTTAATGTACCTTACTATCATTAGTTAAGATTCACAAAAACACCTCAAATACAGTTCAGTCATTCCCCTTTTTCATGTGTTGCAAAACAAAGTAGAAAAGATGAAGTGACTTGACACCAATTCTGAAACGTTAAATCACTCTCAGAATACAGGGTTATCTCACAGCTGGCTTGAACCTCTATAGCTGGTGCTCTCCATTTCACACAAAGATATTATCTGGTTGCTGCTGTATCAGTATGCTTCACTCCCATGATAAAGTTGTTATATATAGCATCTCCATTCCTAAAACTTTGCCTCTGTGATAATACTATGATTATACTGCAGTATCTCTTATGACCAGTGTATTATTTTGTCCATCATTGTAAAAGAGAACAATAACCTATTACTTGAATCAAAGTAAATATAAATTTACAGCTAGAAAGCACTGAAAAATATAAATAAAAAACCCAAATAATTTATTGCATTATGTACTGTCATAACACAACATGCATTAAGTTAAACTAGACAAGTTATTTTCAAGTCATCTAGCCTTTTAAAGCTATTTAGTACCAGTCTGCTTTAACAACAGAAAACTATCTCAAATTAAAAAATAGTATACACCTGGTATGACAGTAAACCTAGATTCAGATTCAATGCTTAAGGTAAATAGCTTTTTTTTTTTAAAAAAAAAAGAATTGTTAACAAGAAGCAGAGAATATGGGCATGGACTGCTTAAAACATATCAGCCTCTCAAAGAAACAAAACAAATACATGAAAGAATGTTTTCTGTTATCACTGATTACCAGTTCAAATTATAGTAACTCAAGGCAGAAGAAAAAAAAAAGGGGGGGGGGGGGGGAGCAGCAAGATAAACAAACCATCTTCTTACCTGGTTCGCAGACCAAGTTACCAGAAGTAATTTTGGTACTTAACAACTTTGTGAACTGAAAGATCGAAGAAGAGGAGTACCATTCTCTCACCAGATTCAGTGAGGAACTGTAACTATTAGACCATTAATTCAGATCTGCACCTCTTCCGTATCCTTTTATTATAGGCTCGGTGTAAGAGAAGCCCTCAAGTTTGTGTTTCCTGACCTGTCAACAGCTGGGAAGGGTGCTACAAACTCCACTGAAGGAAGTTTAATCTTTACTGTCAGAACATGACAGTTTTCTGAGGGTCCTAGAAAAGCATACCCCATAGAAGTGCAACATATCTGGCTCTAAATAAGTTTCGCATAACAGATCAGGCAGTTAAGTCTGGATGTATTAATTAGGTTTACATTAAATTCCATAATTTGGCACAGACTGCCACTGTTTCAATGCCTAGCACTTGAAGCTGCAAGCACAAGTATGTCCTAACCATTAATTTAGCCTTTTTTGTAAATATGCATTGACAGTTTCTCATCACATGATCACATTTTACCTTTTCCAAAGGATCTTAACCATGATCCATAGATCATGAACATGTAACTACTCAATATTTTGTGTTACTGTTCAATGTATAGCTAAGTTACTGAACACAATAATGTACAGCAAAATTACCAAACATAATTGAACCCTACTCTAGAAACAGAATGGAGTTTTCTATAACATGTATCATTACATCGTTCAATGGTGCAAAAACATGACCTTAAAAAATAATCTGTTAAATAACTGGAGCTTCCCCATTTGACATCCAGAATATTTAAATCCAGAATAAGCACTTTATTTAAAAGCGATCTTCATTTTTTGGTACAAAATCCTATACACTTCAGGAATGCTTTTTCAAAAGTCTTTACATCACAAAGAACCTGCATATTATGAGGACAAATACTGATTTCAGATGCAGGTTATACACTTTCAACCTCTTCTTTACAAGATGGGCACTTGCAAAAACAATATTTCATGATGAAAAGAGATTAACCAACTTGCCTTGAAACACTGGAACAGAATTCAGTGGCAGAAAGACAGAACCCACTTCCCTGGCAGGAGGTAACAGCCTGAGCAATGAAGTATTTTTCTCCTACCTGCAATTCTTTTCTTCATTCACTACACACTTTTTTTTTTTAACTTCTTTAACAAATGAGTCAGAAATCCTATAGTTAACATCCTCTTTTACAACATGATTGATAGATCTTGGGAGCGTGTAGGAATCATGTTTCTGCTTCCCCCTCCAAGTCTGACACTTGCCATCTCTTTCACAATTCTACTTGTTCTAATTGTCTTTCTTCAGCATCCCCTTCTTACCATCCCAGTCCAGCCCTCACCTAACCAAATCCTACTGTCCCGCCCCTCATACCAGTTTTATGGCTCAGAAGTCATACTCAGACCTCTCCAGATGTCCTAGACTAGATTCCATTCTTTCTCCCAACTCCCAGGTTTCTCATTTGGCCAGTCCCCACTCTTCATCATTCCTTCCAGCTCTCCTCAGTAATGAAGAAATTAAAACAGAGTTTATAATCGAAAAAAATGGGCAGCCTTCATGGACAGTTCTCCCTGTCTTCAGAAAAGCAGGCAGAACATTTTCCTCAAAAACTGCAAACACCAATTCCTGTTCTTGCACATGTCGATATGCCAAAAATAATTCAAAGACTGAATAGCTGGTTACAACATGTCTGAAACATGAAGTGTGGAAAAGATCTAAAATCATATTAAACCATGCCTTATAGGAAGAGAAGAGTGGAGCAAAAAAAAAAGATAAAGCGTCCTTTTACCATCCTGGAAAAAAGCCAGAACTAACAGTAAGTGGCAAACCATTAGAGCCACAAAAAGTGGGTACTAAACCAGCAAACAAATGCAGAGCCATGATAAAGGAAGGATATTGTATAAGTTCACTAAAAACATGCCACTAAGAAAAAACAAGAAAAAGTAGTTAGTTATTTCTGACTGTACACCTCTTCATCTACAAAGTCAATGAAAGAGTCATCAGCTTCCCAGAAACTGAATTACTGTTACTTTAGATCCAATTTTGCAGGACTTTTGTGGAAAAAAAATTACTGGTCAGGTAGCAACTTGCATATTGTCTCTGAAGACAGTAAATACGGGATTAAAAAAATATATGTCACATCTCCAGAAAAAAAAGATATCCAAAATCTCAAAGGCGGTTACAAGTTTTCTGATTTATTTGCCTGGAAAATCGAATCATTTGATCCATCTGGCACAGAAGGACTTGGAGGAAAATACAGCCCTTTCTTGTGGTATTTGGCAGTCTCATGAAAGGCATTTGAGTTTCTCCACAGATTAGAATGGCTTAGAAACTACTGTCCAGACCACTTCCCGAGGGGAAGAATGTATTCAAGTGGTCAAATTGACCACTCAGTGGCTTTTGATTGCAGAAGGGGAAAGGAATTGTCTACTTTAGGTAGCATTATTTACTGGCCATAGAAAAGGCTAAGGCTCTATACCCTTAATGGACCACACTAGTCTAATTTAATCTTCAAAAAAAGTTCCAGGAAAAGAGGCGAAGAAGGTGATCTATATTATCATACAACTAAATCATACCTGAGCTAAAGGATTAAAAGTGTGATAAATACTGTAAGAAACCTAAGTATATTGCTTCTCACACTGGTGGGACAGTGAGGGAGGGTGGACAGGCCAGAATTTTTACTTCCCTAAACACTTAGTTTTGAAAACTTTTGGAACTTTAAACAGCATGCAACTGTCACAGTTATTTAGAGGCTAAGAAGATACTTCTCTATTCTCAGGAAATCTAAAAAAGCAAGTTCATCTTGCATGTAAAGCCTTACCAGAAAAAAGAAACACCTTGTTGCAGGTAGCTAAAAGGAATGTCAGACAGAAATATTCTGATAATATTAGAATTCGTCACCCCTGAAGATAAGACATCTCAAGTCAAGACAGTTTTCCTGACATACTATGACTGCTGGATGAAAAATTACACTGCTCTTAGCAGCTAAAATGTCAAGAGTAAAGAACTACAGTCCTGAGCCTGTGTGCAGTCAAGCACACACTGCTTTGGGCTGCAAGAGATAAGACTGCTTCAAGCAATGATATAAATTGAAATATATATTCCAGACAAGCATTTTCATGCTCCACGTAATCTGTAATAACATACAGTTGGGGTTCACCATTCACTTCACAGAGACAGGATTGCCTGCTATTCTGCTTCCGATAAAAACAAACTTTAAAGCTTCCTTTAAGCCTAGATAAATATATACATCTCATTCTTCCTGAAAGAAGAATTTTCAAGTCCAATTAAAAAAAAAAAATGAAAAACTGGCAGAATATCATCAAGAAATGCAGTTGTAGTCTCCTCCCTCTTCACCTTCTAAAGGGAGCTTTGGGAGCTGGATAAGGATGCACAGTAATTGTTGGTCAAATCAGATATGATTATGAAAACAGATGGATGCTTAAATATAACATTGATTTGTGCCTGAAACAGACCAAAGCGAGTTGGAACTACATCTAATTTATTTTTGCTGGCACTATGGTTTATGTAAAACTATTATGATTCAAGAATAACTTAGTCATTCACAAAGTATGCTTTCTATAACCATGTGTAAATATTTGTGCCAAAACTCAAATTTTTAAATTAATCCAAATATCTGCCTTTCAAGTGAAAAGCTTCCTAGATTTAACTGTTTTAACTCCCTGTATATGAAACATTTGGGCAGGAAAAAGATTTTGCAATAAGTCAACCAGATTAAGGCAGTATTTGATAATAAAAATATTTCAACAGACATAAACTAGTTCTGAAAAAATTAAGGAGTCTTAAGAGATTGAAACAAAAACTAATAAAAACTATTTTTGAATTCCCAGAATGCTCCAACTGAACATAACTGAGTTGTTCTGGAATTTAAATAAACACATTTGTTCAAGAAAAAAAATAACATAACAATGTATCTGCTTCTCTCCTGTAAGAAAGCATAGCCTCAACTGTATATATATTGCCAGAACTATCAACTACTGTTCAGCATGGGCTGACTATGCTTCACCACAAAAAAAAAAAAAATACACCAAAACCCACAACAAAAATCTGCCCTTTCAGATGTGCAGAACCTCCTCTCCAAACGCTGCCTGAAATCAGTAATGGCTAAAGTGTTGCCATACGTTTGACTCTAAAGCAAAGTTAAGACACTCGTCTTCACTTTTAAGGCTTTTGTTTTGGACAAAACCATATTCCAGGGGCTAACAGTGGTATTGATTGACCTCATGGAGGTGAATAGTTTTAACTAGTAAAGGCAAGTGAACACTTCTGTGATTTCCAGGACTTCTGCTCTTTGATAATACTCTAACTTTTTCAAGGTAAGAGATGAAGAAACTCTATCATATACTGCAAAATCATGGTTGCTAAACTGTCATAAAATACTATAAACTACCAATGTAAACTTAATTGTGCACACATACACATTGAACCCATCAGTATGTGAACAAATCTGGCCCAGTGTGCAGATATCCAACTGACTCTATACAAAGTCATATGTATCAGGATAAGGGGTTTTTTGTTTTGTTTTTTTCATCCTTCACTCAAAAGAGATGAGGATATAGCAAAAGTCCTAGGAGCCCCACAAGAAGGTGCAGTAAGGAAGGGGTTGGACTAGACATAATATGGAACAAATCCAATTTTCTAAAGTCAAGTTCAGTTGCAAAGAAACAGGGAGTACATGGGAACTAGATTCCATCTCTGCTACAGTTCCTAAATGCTAATATAATTTACTTGTAACATGCAAGGCACAGTTTTAGGAGGCAGAGCCTTTCAGAAAACTTTTTGCTCTCCCTGTGCATGAGAGACTACAAAGCTTCCTTCAGTCTCTCTTAAAATGATCTTCCATCTCCTCCAATTAATGGTTTACTCTAGATTCCTAACTATGCTACCACATTGCATTGCTTACACTTTTTTTTTAATTTATAGAACTTCATTCATACAATTTACAAGATTCTTTGGAAGCCAGACTGTATAACAAAGAAAAAAACCCCAAACGTGTTTTCCAAACCAACACAAGAAATGGTAGCTTTTCTAACTGTTTAAACAATGCTTGTCCTATATAAATATGGAATACGTTCCTAGCAGCAATTGTTTCATCTGTGGTTTCCACCTTCAGTCTGAAAGGTGGCAACAACAAACTTTTGTAAAGATCTTCTAATAGCTACCTATGTATGAAAACTCATTTGCCTTGAATGCTTAGTGACACAATGAATTAAAAGACACGAAGTGAGCAACTTCAAGAATGCAAATACTGACACACTGTGGACAGATGAAGTAAAACATGACCATACAACTGTGCTGGCAAGTACTTGTCCTACATGCACGATCCATGCTTTCTGTAAAGAGTTTTGGGGAGAATTCATGCCAGAAATGATTGGAATTATATAAGCACGACTGAAAACATACAATTATTTTTAATGCCAGTGTGTATTTTCGAATACAGATCTATTCAAGAACTAGGAATAAAACTATTCTCTTCAGTTCAATCAATTTCACTGACACAGTAGAGACCAGAACAAGTTTAAAAGTGAGGATTTATATTCAACGGAAGTTACGTGAATTCAAAATAATATTAGTGTAAATCAGATAATTAGATATGCATTACTAGCTGGAATTAATACATCGGAGGTGAAGGGGCTGGAGTCTAGCATGTCTGTGGTCTCAGTACTTACAGTAACAAAGGCCGTGTCCTTACATAGCCTGCAGTCCTACACTACTGAGTCAATAGAAGACCTTGCTGCCCTCGAAAAGGTAATGTCACACTTCCCTAGTCTTCAGATTGCATAACTCACCCTCTGAGCATTCAACAAATGCTTCCATTTGCCTATCTCACTCCAGCAGAAAAGACCCAGACTTTTTCTTCTTTCCCAGAGTAGTTCTGTCATTTTAGCAAATGAACTTAAGCTCACAAAGAAACCTAACAAGTGCTGGGGCTGATACAGGCAGTCAGAATGAGCTCTGGGCCAGGACCAAGGAGGAGAGACCACAGTGAAAACTTCTCCCTTTTTGGATGTAGCAAGTTTTTTAACTGGCTTATTACATCTCAGGGAAAGTACACACTGATTAAAAAAAAAAAAAAAAAGTATAAAAATCAGTCTGTCTTTTCATCATAAAGGAAAAAAAAATAGACCTTGGTTTTCAGATCTCAGGATGAGTTCTGCTGGGATGCTATATGGTAAAGTTATCTTTTTTTAATTTCCAGATGAAAATCTGGGTGTCACTAAATACAACCAAATATTCCCCAACTTTTCTGCTTGGTAGCTTACTTTCTTATTGAGCGGAGTCACTGGAAGGTCAGACTTCTCCCTTCTCTGTTCCCCCAAATCTTCAGCATTATGTAAGCAAGATTTCCAAACCAGTCTCCTCTAATTTAATGCTACGTTTCCAAATCATACTGGTTTTCATTTTTAAAAGTGTAGGTATGTTTTACAACTCTACAGCAAATATATGAATTCCACTCAAGAAAATCTATAAAGTGATGAATGAAAAAGCAACCACAGAAAAACCTGGTGAAACAATAAGATACAAAAAGACGCTTACAACTGAGCTCAGTCATATTATTTCTTCTATTTCCCTCATTGTAATCCATCTGGATTCCAATTTATGGAAAAAAAAAATGGTCAGTTTCTACTGCTGTAAATCTGACACCTTACACTATATCCCTATTAGCAGGCCAACACCGCATATCCTCCAAGTTAGTGTAAGAAAAAAACAAAGCTTACCTGGAACCCATTTAATCTCCATTCCTATATCCTTTTCTTCCTGTTTTTTCTCTTTTTCTTGGATGCTTTGCAACAGCTCTCTGTACTTGGCAATTTGCTCTTCATCATCTTTTTGGCTTTTCCTGGGTTTGTCATCTTCCATTTCATGAGCTGCATCACCATCTAGAAAGAGAGAGTAAAGCTATCACAGACAGCCTCAAGAAAGTGATCAACTGAAGTTAATATTTACAAAACACACCTAAGGCACATACATTGTTTCTAAAAAAAAACATTCTAAAACATTTTCATCTATTATTCCCCCAAAGAATAACCTGTTTTCAAATTCCCCTGCTTAGATGAAATAAAAATAGTATCTGAAAAGACAAAATAATTTTTTCCAGCAAAGTAAATCACTTATCGGACACAGCATCCCCTACTGCATTTTAAAATCATTAGTTTCAGAGCCCAATACAGCAGAGTAGTACCTAAATCTCAAAAAACAGTTGTGTAAAACACTTTGAAAATAAAGTCCTACATTTTAACAAATAAACCTTGCAAGACTCTGTAAAAGAGATAATTATTCAGTGCCTTAAAGTGCCTTGCTGAACTAACAAATGAAGCAAGGCATTTTTTTCTTATTTTTTAGAAAAACGCAATTACAATGTGACTTACAATATGCTTTTAAACAAATGTTTCAGAGAGAACAGGCTTTTAAAGCTTTAAAGATGCTACAGCGCCTTGAACTGTAGAAAACTAGGCTTGAGGCAGGCTCCTTTTTCTTCTTTCTGTGGTTTAGCAGTAAAGCTATGCTTCCTACAGTACTGAGTTGCACGGGCAGCAAAACTGGCGTCTAAAAAGACAGACTGCAGTTGCAAGTCAACACAGAGTGACCTCTGGTCTCTGGCTAAAACTTAGGTTGTTCTCTTCCACATCCCATCATCGCAATAAGCTAGTTGTTGTCTGTGAGCAGAAATCTTTACTGTTCAGGTAACTGCAGCTGCTTTTCCACTTTCCTCATCAGGAGCGGGGATCTCCTAAGAGGAAAGTGTCTGCTCCTGCAGCAAACAAAAGACATTCGGTTTTGAGGACTGCGAAGAAAAATAAGCCATTTTGTTGTTTCTTCTTCCTGGTATCACATAAAAATGAGAAGTAAAGCTATACTGGATGGGAACTGAAGAAATGCTTAAGCTAAGAAAGGCTTCTCTGAAAGTGGCTAAGTAAGGGGCTACTGATTTGTATTTATGACTGTCTTCACTGATTTTGCTAGGGGAAATTAAAGTGGCATTGCTTATTGTGATACTTTCTAATTTAGACAAAACATGCATTTCTTTTGTCAAATGTTCAACATCGCCTTCAAAAAACCCTTAAGAGCCTTTTCCTTCTGTACGCAAATAAAGAACACTTGACAACAGCTGCAAGAAAGGAAAATGAGCTGAATATGTTCTCAAAGTTTGTTCAGAGTTCAAATAACCTTGTCACTAGCTTTCAAGTATCATGCTGTATTGCACAACATGAGGAACCACTTTCTGATGATGGATATTAAGGCAGTAATGCTTTCTGCCAATAGCTTGTTCAAAGACTTTTTGAACAAAACACACAAACAAAACAAAAAGTTCTGGTGCATTAACATCTGCACTGCAAGACAAACACAATTAAGAGAAAAACGCTTAACCTGTGAAGGAAGAAAATGCAAAAGCAGATGAAGTTTAGAGCATAAAATACAAGTATATTCTTTGTTTTTTCAAAAGGAAAGTGGTAACAGAAGTGCTAAAAGAACTATGAAGAAAAAAGCTAAAATTCCAAGACAGGTCAGAAACATTCCAACACAACAGTTTGCAGGGTTTGTTTGTTTTTAAATGCTGTAATTCATCAAAAATATAAACAAATGCAGAGGCTTAATATATTAAATTGATGATTGGCAGCTGTGCTAGTTGAGATCACATTCTTGTAATCACAGTGTTTTGAAGAGATAGTATTCTTTGTTTAAGAAGATTATCTGGTAATGGCTGAGTAGATGATTCCTTTTTCTGATGGTGGTTTTTTATGTTGGGTTTTTTCGTTTGTTTTTTTGGTTGGTTTTTTTTCACTCAGCCTTAGAGACTAAAGAAGGTAGAAAAAATATAGCAGGCATAACATTTGACAAGTCGTCTCCTGCAAAGCTGAGTTTCTTTTAAAGATGGAAAGACAAAATTCCCCCTCGTGATGTAATGGCAATGTAATACCATAAAATTCTACCACTGAACTGGATGCTGACGGCTATACCATAAAAATACACAAAATGTCTCAATTTTATCCAGCGTAGTTACTGAAATTCAAATAGACACAAAAAAAAACACCCTACAATGCATGTAGACCTGCAGAGTGAAAACTAACAAGCTCTACACTCCGGCATTCAAAAAGCAGGTAGAGGTTATTGCACAGTACTACAGCACGATATTAAAGATTAAATGCATTGACCTCACTCTTGAGCCAGAAAATAGTGACAAACAAAGAAAAACTTTGACTTTTAACCCCGCTTTCCCTCATTTTCAGCACACTCTGAACAAGGAAATCCCATTAGTTCATCTAAATGATAATGAAAAAGGAAAAATTTAGAATTCAAAGTAATCAAAATAAGCTTATTCAAAGCATATCACAGTAGACATCTTGTGAAATAGTCTTCAGGGAGAAGACATAACATAGGTGAACAGGAAGAACAGAATGTGGACAGGTAATAAATTAATAGTAAGCATTACAGTCTGGCTTTTTTAGGTTTTGTATTTTTTTCAGGTCAGGGTATTCTAACCACTTGAGTGCTGTGCAGTGGGCGCAGCTTTTAACTCACTTTGGAAACCAGGTGATTGTGGCTGCTGCAGCCTTTAAGCACCTGCCTGCACGTGAGAGGTGACTGGGCATTCCTAGAACCATGCTTCTAAACCAGTCACATGTAAGCCAAGATGAACAAGCTCGCGATCAGAGTTGGCTCCTCTCTACTCATTTCTGAGTAGGGACATGCTGGCCTGCAAAAGCACACCCAGAAGTGTTCTTCGGTTCAAAGCTACCGGACACCTCCAACAGCTTGTATGAACTTTTCAGAAGAAAAGCTAAGATAACCCTTTTTCTTGGCCTTCCAAGCACTTTAAAAAAAAAAATAAATTAAAAAACAAACACAACAACAACAACAAAAAACCTCCTGGAAACATGCTTTGGAAAAGTATCCAACACCTGGATCAGTTACATCAAGCTTCTGATGCTTCATAAAAGAAAAAAACTAGGTCGTAGTATATCTAGTCTGTCCCATTAAATTCAACCCAGGCTTGGCTAAATCACGAACTGCTAACTCCTCTTGCTAGCTTGTCTCCTTAGGAAATACTTTATCAATATGCCAAAACTAACCCAACAGAAATATTCTAAAAAGTCAGATCCTTATTAATTTTGAAGAAGCAGTAAGGTCTGAGAGCATCCAAAGCAGCTAGACAGGAATAAGGGACAAAAGCTAACCCAAATAACATTCTATTCAATGGATTTTATAAACACCCACTGGATTCGGGGACAATATTAAATAATTGAATGTTTTACATCTGTCACCTTCCACTTCTTAGCCTTCCATAATAGTTCTAGCAAATAATAAACACATACGAATACCACTTATTCTTAAGACAGCAAAGACTGTACTGTCATGTGATAAAATGTTAAAGATACATTTAAATTTATATATGTAGTCAGAGTTATTGCGTCAAATAGACTTCAAAACTGTAAAAATATTCAATAAATAGTCTGATTTTATTTAACATTAATCACTAAAAATAAGATTATCAGCATTATTTAGAAAAAGTAAACCTCCACCCTCCTCCTCCTTCCCAACTACATTTTTTTTCTCTGCACTTGTGTACCCCCGGCATCGGTGCAGCAGCACAAAACAAAATATCTACTGGCTTTGTAGAGTCCTGTATTGGAAGCCCAATACCACAAGAGACTGTGCTTCCTGCTCTAGAGTTCCCTACAAGCCTGTCAGTCTTCAAGAAGCATTTGGACAACTCTTAGATACATGGTTTAACTTTTATGTTGCCCTGTGTGGAGTCAGGACTTGGACTGACTGATCCTAGGGGGTCCCTTACAACTCACGATATTCTATGATTATACCATCAGGAACAGATAATCAAAAATACACTGATAAAAGTATTTTGTCAGATAGTCTATTCAGGTATTATGTGTGTCTGTGCAAAGATCTTGCAAAGATAAAAAAAAACAACAACAAAAACTTAGGCATAAAACCCATAATGCTTAATTCGAAGCATATACTAAGTCACTGGTGCTCACAGTCAACATAGCAATTATGGGCTGGATTTGATGCACATCCCAAATGCTTCCTAACTGGAACAAATGCATCCAAGTAAACAGAAAGTTCAGGAGCAATGTAAAGGAGATACTTTGTGCTACGAACCACAACATACCAGGTTGCTGAAATACTTGACATTACAAAACTTTTGTATAATAATAATATTAACATTCATGACACACATTTTAAGTTGAAAAATTCCATAAAAAACAGATTAGAACGGGTCAACAAAAACCTGTTTATAAATAAAACATCTTAATAAGTTAAAGACATATTAATAAAATTCCAGAACATTTTTTTCTTTCTTATCACATTCCTACATTTCCATTCAAGCAGCTGACATTGATTTTTCCCATTTGTGCATTGTGCCACATAATTCTGCTGGATGGAATCCTGTCGGATGGGATCCTGTTTTGTATCATATAACTGAACGGGTAAAAGGTCAGGAACACGTTAAAGACATGGCAACATAATTTGTCTACCAATAACTTTCTTTTCAAAACATCATTACAATCTAGACATTTACAGGTTTAAAATTTATTAGTGTGATAAGATTACTTAAGGTCAATTTCTTTTCATTCCCAGCAATGGAAGTTTACTCTTTAAAATTTCTGAAGGGTTGCTCACTTACACATGTTCGCTTTCAGCACCACGCTATTACAGATGCTATTCTTTAACATAGCAGTAGTCTTGTACATAATAATAAGATGGAAATGCTTTCCTCTGCATCTACTGCTCCCATTTTGATACTTTACTAAGCATTACTAGAGAAACTAAAGCTCACGGAGGTGCAGTTTATAAGTGCCTTTTTATGTAAGATGAGAAACAAATGGACATTAAACCTACCAACAGATTGTCAAGCTGAGTTTGCTGCCAGAAGATTTCCCAACACTAACCAGAAAAATCTGTCATGTTCCTTTGCACGCTCCAAACTCATCTCTGATTGCAACAACCTGCTTTAATGCAGTATAAATCAATTTTAACATCTGTTTGAAAGACCTGATTAAGGCTTGATGACATTTTATTTGCCTTGCAATTTAGGCTATAGATATTATTAATTAAGAGCAGACCGAATTTTAGAGTGAAAACAAGCAAGGTAATTCAGGAATGTACATGTTAGTCTACCATACACAGAAGATTTACGTAGCTTATGAAGTTAGATGATATACGTATTCTTATATATCTTTATATTCTTAATAAGTTATTTCAAATGCTTTTTGATTCACATATGTTACTACTACACTCTAAAGTTCCCTTAAATAAGTTCTGCTGATTATCTTTCCCCTCACTAAGTAAGACTTATTGCTTAGGAGTACCAGAAGGCCCATAGCACAGCTTTTCTCCACTACCTTTCACTCCCCTGGCTACTCAAGAGTGAAGAAGCTCTGTGCAATCTACATCTCCCTCAGGACCTTCGAAGGTCTGGAGGGCATTCAACATCCTGTCTAGGCCACCTCAACAAGCACAGTCTTAGGACAGCTTGTTCCGTATCTCCTTGCCCTGCAGAGACTTTAATATATGTAGAGAGGGCCACAAAGAGGACAAAACACTACGTTAACCTACAAATACATTTCTGCAGTGAGCACTGTACCTAATTCATTTAGTCACTGACCACTTCACATTTCAAACTAGGACTTTTCCTCTGGAAAGGAAGCACCTCCAGTTCTACTGAAAATAATTTTATCTCAGAAATGAAGAGATTAAAGTAGGTATTGCTGAACTTGACAAAGAAATGTTAAGGTACCCTGAAAAAAAAGAAAGAGGAAAAAAAGGGGGGGGGGGGGGGAGAAAACTATTTTCTACTCAGAAATACAAGTTCTTGTTCAGAAAGCAGCTATTCAGGGGCTCAATCATTAGGATAACTCCTAATAACCTACCTTTTAGTAATTTTTGATCAGTGCTACTCAGACTTCACAGAAAGGCAGAAGAACTCCATTCAATACTGAGTGAAGATAATAACTACTACATTCTCTATATAAATCATTCAAATGTATGATGAAAAGCAACTTTTCTTTAACAGAATTATCATATCAGCAATAAAGAAGATATGCTGTAATTTACATCACCTATGATCTTGCTAGAAATCACTCAAATTATAACCATTGTACTTGGCTTAATCAAACATTAATTACACCAGGTAAAGGGATTTTGCAGTACAGAAATTAAAACCAGAAATCTGTTTTAAAGCTAAGGTGATAATACTTAAGTCAAACTCTCACTAACGAATCTTCTAAGGAAGTTACTTAGAAGCTAACATACTTTGTCTTCAAAAATAATGTAGTAATTTTGGGGTCATACTCACATTATTTATCTGGAGAATCAGGATCAGCTTTGCATATTGAATCTCAATTATGGCACTAGAGATACCAATTTAAAAACTTGTACATGTGTTTTCTTATCATGTACAAAGAACACTGGAAAGTGTATTTAACTCAAACAAACAAAAAGAAATAAAGAAAAAAAGGAATGTCAAGTTCCAGTAAATTTAAATAACTCCACAGCTTCCATGTTAACATGCCTAACTTAAAGAATTATATAGCTTTTCAAAAAAAATGTAGCATCTGTCAATCTGTCAATGTTCTGTCATCAATCAATTTCTTTCTTAATTGAAAAGAGCAAACAAAAAAAATCCAATGTGCTCACCACCAATTTCCCTTCGCCTTTAGGTCACACACACACACACAGTAAGTACATGCCACTTTTGGAGATGTTTAGCTCTGGAGGAAACTTAGGTTATTTTCATAGTAGAACCTGACCACAGCTTTTATACAACGAGCATAATATTGTCCCTGTAAAAGATGACATTCAAAGCGTTTTCTAAAGATACAGAATTCACACATTTAAATAACTTGTGTTCAAAACACTCCAGCTAATGACTTTGTGGACAACACTTATTAATTTAAGTACCTGGCTGCTGTTCTTCCTCTTCTTCACTAGACGAAGCCAAATAAGCTTGAAAATCCATGTCAAGAAGTTCCTCTTTGTTAAAAGTTCTGCTAAGTGATGTTACTCGTTCATGATCTGTCTCGTCCCATGTGATAGCTACCTTAAAAATAAGAATGCCACTTTTAGAAGCTGTAACACTAAATTTAAACATGGTAACTTTGTCTTTTTAGGGAAGATTATTTGATACCTTCCATTTAAGAAGCAATGCAAACATTTACTAAAGTTCCCTATAACAATTAGCTATAATAACCATTTACTACAATCAATTTAATTACAACTTTTTGGAATTTGTTCTTCAATGAGTTTCAAAGAGTTTTAACTACATGAAAGAATGAAGAGCGCCTTGATGCGCTGAAGGGTTCTGTAACAGTAGGTCACACAACATGAAATCTCTGTAAGCCTAATTTCCTCTGTGGCAGCTGATACTGGTGTTGAAGCAGCCACCAGCTCCTCTCCTTTACTCTTCCAGCAGCAACTCATTCCTGGAATCATGCACGGAGCGCAATGGGGACAATGAAAGCGTTTGCGCAACTGTACCCTCAACCGGAAGATAAAAAAGATCTGACTGAAAAATGATCCAAAAGAAATTATTTATTTCTCAACTAATCCCTTCTCCAGTCTGGTTCACTTCATGGCCAGATGAAAGTTTTGGCTGTCACATAAGACAGAGTAGGAATGAATAGCTACAAGGAGGGGAAACAACTGTTTAAGCCCAGCATTACCACCAAAAAGGCTCTTGTTGAGGCTACACACACATACCCATTTTAGGCAAAATAGAAGATTTAACTGTGAATAACAAAGTAATTCCATGTGGTAATAGAGGTACAATGAGGTCAAAATGTAGTATTTAATTTATAATGAAGAAGCTGAATGTCTTTTAAAATACAAAACTCGAGCCTATTTATGAGGTTGTAACTTGTGGCTTCATAATGTGCTTACAGCTTTTAAGATGTTTGATGTCTTTACTTTGAAATGGTGAAGATAATCAGGGATCTTTTCCCCACTACTTTCATAATTTAGAAGCTGACAATAAAACTAAACAAATTCAAAAAACATTACAAAAACATTGTAAAGATACCTTTGATGTTCCCATAGCAGCAGATGTGAAGTACTTTGGCTTATATACAGCCACATTCACTTCTGAGGCTTCATCTTTTGGCTTATCATCAAATGTAATGTTATCTGGAATAAATCTTAAAGGCAAATAAAACATGTTATTATTCAAATACACTGGGAAATCATAGTATAAACACTCTACGCTTTTCACGAGGATGGTACATCAGCACAAAATAAATTTGCTAAAAGTTGGTAAGCCTGAAAAGGAAACAAAAGAAATGAACAAGTACTCCACATGCGAAATATTAACCGTGTGGCTTCTGCACAGCTATTCCACAGGTTTTCGATGCATAACACCACCATATTAGGGAAGTAAACTAAATAAATTTCAGTCTGGTATTGGCAGGGTCAGAGGTGTTTTTCTGGGTGTTCTGTTTAAGAATCATCTTTCTAGAAAGATTAATATTAAAAATTCAGAAGAAAGAGTAAATAAAATAAAATTTGAAAACAGAGAGATAAAAAAAATTCATAACATTTGAGGAAAGCCTGGTACATCTTTAACCTTACAATTAGTAGGGCAAAAAATGCTTGAAAGACCATAGTCATGTTTAGTAACAGAGTAAGAGAGATTAAAAACCCCTTTGTGCACTACATGATAAACATCTTGCGCTTTTCTTTTTAAAATCAGTGCAAATGTAATATGATAAATACTATTCAACATTAAAATATTAGAAAGTAGATGATTAAGAAGAGCATTGAAGAATTTTCAACAGCTGTGTCTGTTGTAAAACATTATCTTTCTATGTTTAAAAGAATGAAAAGTTACATGTTCATTTGGCAGAGATCATATTTGCCAGAATGGTTCAAAGCAAATGAATTAAGCTCCTCTAGAAAATGATTCAAAGCAAAAAATTTACTTTTCACTGACTTCCAAGAGTGCCTATAACCAGGCCCCAGCAGACAAAGCTTCTGTCACAACTTACCATGATTTAGTAACTTCTCTTCTGCTCAGACTAGGCTTTTTTGTAACAGAAGGAAATACTAACAATAAAACACAACTATAATTTAAAATTCTTTCTTTCCCAAACGTGACTTTTGAAATATTCGAGCTTCCAGTTCATTCATAGGGGCTAGCATATAAATCTATTGCAGCTTCATTACAACAGCAGCAATATTCTGCCCTGTGGTAAACAATCCTGAAAAAGAGCCACTTATGGACCCCTGGGGGTGGCAGGGGAAGGGAAGAGCAGCAGTATGTTGTTTTGTTTTCTAAATCCTACCACTTTACTTAATTGTACCAAAAGGTTGAAGGTGCAACCAGCACATTTTACCTGATTTCTCTGTGAATAATCTCTCTACACAGAGATCCTCTCAAACTTTTCATAGTCCAGTAAAAATACTCAAAAAGAAGAAAAAAAGAATCAAAGGGAAACCTAAAAACTCACTGGATGCCTAATTTCTTTACATATCTCATTTTGGCTACAGAATAAAGACAATATAGATTACTCACAATTATTTTAAGTTAGCTTTAATTCTCTCTCCCATCCCAACATGTAATACAGTCACCACTGGAGTTACCTCAGGTCTATAAAAGAACAGCTGCTTTCAAATTCCAGTCCATCACATTCTTCATAAATTTTATTGGCTGTTTCAGGAGAATCACATTCTACAACTGCATAGAAGTATTTCAGTCGCTTAAATTGATACTCTCTCAGTTTTTCCCTATAAAGCCTGCAAAATTGGAAAACACCACAATCAAGTGAGCTGGCTTTAACAACTTGTCATTTGCAAAATATTTAATTCAACACATTAAAAATACGCACCATTCAAACACTCTCCTAATATTATAAGATTAGATGTTAAACAGCATGAATTTCCACCATATCTATTCAGTTTTACTCAAGTAAAAAGACTAATTCACAGTTTTATTTAGTGTACACTTTCTGTATCTGGCTCTGCTTCCCACAGGCATTGTAAAGTTACAGTCCCTGTGCAGGGCACAGAGCACCACCTCTGTGCAGGCCACAGAAAGTAGCATTGAATAGTTCCTGTCAAGTTGCTTGCAACCATCCTGGCTCTTAATAAGGCTGATGAAAAGGATGTTCATAAATAAGTAAGCTTACATGTTAAGAACATAAGAGAAACTGGGAGACTGTAAGAACAGATCCTCATGCCAGAGAAAGGCAAGTGTAGGAGTGATGAGTGAGAAAGCGCTATGGGTGAGGAAAGGAGCTGGGATATTAACTTGGGTAGCACAGGTGGTGGTGCTGTCACAGAAGATAACAGCAAGAAAAAAAGAAAAGCAGAAAAGAGATTGAAAAGCAGACAAACTGGTGGAAGTATGCAGGAGAGAGATTGCAGGGTTGAGGTCCTGTCCCGTGAATTCAAAGGGTACGCACACAGGTACCACTGGGGTATCTCTGGGATATCTGGATTTCTGATTGTTGTATTCCAGAATTTCTAGAGCGCACTGAACAGTAAATCCAATGCTTCAGGATGCACCTTGATGGACACAGTGAAGCTGACTTCAGCAGGTGCTGTGAGTTCATTATACAATTCCCTGATGCACTAGAGACTTTCTTGAAAGGGATCTGCACTTATTTTAGAAGCATCCAGATTTTCCAAATATAGGGCAGTCCAGTGGGATGTATTACACAAAAGAGGCCCCTGTCAGGCTGCCAAACATCTGGAAATTCTGGAAAAATATAAAAGTAAAACCTCTCATGTTCCATACAGACAAGACTTTCAAGCGTAACAAAACAAAAAAAAAAAGAAAAAACCATGCCTGAAGAAGCTTCGACAATGATAGGCCTGATGGGCACAGCCCAGTAAGCCAGGGCTGCTGCTGGTGGCATTCAAGAAATCTCAATCTGGGAATTCTTGGCCTAAGTTAAGGCCCTCCTGTTGGTTACGCACATAAAATTTTGACAGTAAGAATCAAAGGGAGTCTACTGCATGAATGGCAATTCACAGAGGAGAAATGCTATGTTAAGCTCTCTGCACATTTATTCCATTTATTATTCCAAAGAGCTGGACAATAAAAATTTTGAACTCCGTTATCAACAACCAAATTTTCTCAAGTTTCATCAGAATGCATTTATTCAATGCACTGACAATGAACCAGAGTGAGCTGTAAAATATCCCTTGAAAGAAAAAAAAAATTAAGGCGCCCAGAGGAGACTTCCATATATGAAGTTTTGGAAACAGGAGTTGATCGAGATTTTCACTGAGAATTAGACATGTTATATCTCTCATCTGAAGATAAAGTTAATACCCGTCATTCTCTGTGGTATTCTCTGGAAGATCAAATAGTTCTACAGGCCCTTTTTGTTCTTCCTCTTTCAATCGCTCTTTTCCAAATTCCGAAGGATAAATCTACAAATACAGCAACACAAAAGTAAATTTTTAACAGCAGTGGTATAATGGACACCAAGAAGAAGTATCTTACCAAGCCTTTTAGGCTTTATCTTTTTTCTCTAATATCAGCACAGGGATCAATTCCATAAATTTTAATTCCCTCTTAACTTTAATTTACAGAATATACAGTAAAATAAACAAATGGCCTATATTTTGAGAGCAATGAAGAACAAAAGGAACCCTAACTTCATTCACTTCACTGTGGCCCTTTTCAGAAGGGGTATTTGACTAACGTTTCTCAGAAAACTGGAGGCAGACACTAAAAATGAAAAAATATAACTTAGCTGATTAGAATTTAACCCGTTTATTAATAAACTCAAAAGTGGGGAAAAACAGGAAGTGTTGTGCCATGATAAAAGGGGTTGGAAAGCATTTAGAAATAGCCAGGTTTAAGGGTGAGTTATCTACCACAAAGACCACTGGAAATGAAACTAGCCTAAGTAATGTAGTCTCTCCCTGCTAGCACTTAGATACAACCTCATAAAAATGAGAAGTTAACAGCTCTGGGATCTAACTCCACCACACATGCCCATTGCTGAAAAGCAGCACATGTTTATTTCTAACACAGTAAGTTAAATTCGACCACAATTTCTTATTTATCATGTTAATACCTACTTTGCTTCTTGTAAAGAAATATCTTACTTTCTTCTTATTTTGTAGTTTGGTGGGGTTTTTTTGGTTTTGTTTGTTGGTTTTGGTTGTTGTTGGCTGTGCTGTTTTTTGTTTGGTTGGGTTTTTTGGGGGGTGGGGTTTTTTGTTGTTGTTGTTTGGGGGGGGGTTTTTTTTTTTCCCAAGATGGGAAAGATTTGGGGGGTTGTTGTGGTTTTTTGTTTGGTTGGTTGGTTTTGTTTTTTTACAGTAAAAGTCCTACTCCTTTTAGAAATCAGATCTTACCTTAACAGAAAATACCGTTCCTCCTTTGGGTGTGAAAGAATTAAATAGAGCCAGCAAATCCTTAGCCTTCAACCTATCCCAATCCATATTACACACTGCTAATCTACTTGTAATCTGAAGAGAGAAGGAAAAAAAAAGGACATGAAGTTCATAGGTTTAATTCCTGACTGCTATGGGGAATACACAACTCTCTAGCAACTATCCTTGATAAAAATCAAAGTCATTAAGAAACTCTAACAAAAAAATAAAATAAGTATTTTCCTCAAGACTTAAACTAGCAAAGATCAGAAGCAGCAATCACCAGAGCAGATTAAATGGACATAACAGTGAAGTATCACAGAATGGACTGCACCAATTACAGATTTAGGACTGCAGTTACAACATCAGAATTTAGGATTTTGTTATCATCATATGGATAAGTTACATTAGCAGCTAGTATCACAGAATTGGAACAGCACTAGACTGCTGTGATTTCTTATACACCAATTGTGCTCAGTTTTAAAGTCCTACTTCACTGTCTAATGACTTCTTAATTTCTTAAAGCGCAAAGTAAAAAATTAAATTTTAAAAAGTGAAAAAAAAAACAGTAGTGAACAAAAGCAGTAATGTTTAAATTCTAGAATTTATGAAAAGCTCAATTCTGTGGGTTCTTTCACTTACAGACAGCTTATCCGTCTACAGGTAAGCCTCTGCTTAGGAAGCCTTCCTTAGAAAGGAAGGGAGACACCAGTGAAAACTGCAAGTCTCTCATTCTCAGCCAATTTCATCACTTGCATTCTGTAATTAAAGGGTAAAAAACCTTTACAAAAAATACTTTCACAAACTGTTTCATAGATGAAGGTCTAAAGTGAACTCATAACAATGTACATTTCCGAGTTTGTCATGTAGCAACTTTTCACATGCAGAAGTATCATTACCTCATCTCCACGAGGGGCATCTTTATCTAGCTCACGCCATGAATGCTCTATCTCTGGCTCCTTTGGAAACAGGTCATTTAAATCCTCATCATCCTCTGAGCTTGTTTCAATGTTCCCAATGCCTCTAGCTAGATCAGGCCCACTGTCGCTTTCTTCATCATCTTCTGAATCATTGTCTTCTTCGCCTGTTTCCCCACCTTCTTCTGGCTCCTCTTCCTCGCCTGTCTCATTATCTTCTGGCCCCTCTGCCGATTCTGCATACTCAGAATCATCACTTGCAGAAATTTCTTCCTCTAACTGGCTTTTATTGATGTCACGTTGATTATGGGTGTCTGTGCATACAGTCACTGAAACATAAACATTAGGTATCTGGTTTTATGCTGTAATTACATACGATCCTTTACAAAGAGGAGAAAAAAAAAACTCATGTTCTCTTCACACAGATTTACAGCACCCCTGAAATGTATAATGATGCAGAAATATATTACATCAGGGAACTGCAAACAACACAAATCACCAGTACTGGCTCTTCAGCTTGTCTAATCTATCGCTCTTTAGGCCCACAATTGTATTATCAATCTCAAACTCTGATAAAATGTTATTCTGTTATTCTATTTATATGTATACCATCAACAGGTAGAAATTAGATTTCAATAATGTAAGCTATATGCATACACGAGCAATATAAAGAAAGAAAGAACAGGTGACTTGAAGAAAAACTAATGCTCTCATATTACTGGCTTGGTGCTTCCATCATTATACTTTCAGTCAACAACCGTTGATATGTAGAAGCATTCATGGCACTAGACCTTACCTTTGCTGTTCAGTTTGATAAATATAGTAGCGTATACACTAATGTAACCTTCACTTTTCTAACTAAACAACTTCAGCTCCAGCAATTAAAAGGACAGGGATGTTCACAATCTTACTGAAGAATCAGCACAGACCAACTCCAATTCTTCAGCAACACCAAATCTGAGTCAGTCAGCTATTTTATAACTGATCTTGCAAAAGAAAGCTTTTCCATGGATAAAACAAAAGCAGCAACATCCAAACAAACACATCCGAATTCTAGTTGTTATTTGAACAGCTAACCTGATTCTTTTATTTTTCCTCCTTGGGAAACATCCCTTCTGGGAGTTTTAACTGATTTAGTACCACTTGATTGTGAAGCCTTTTGCTTGTTTTGAATTGAAATTGATCTTCCTCCTGATGCATCTCCTCTCTTGTTTTTCCCTTTGTTTAAAAGTCCCTTGTTTCCCCGAGAGTCATCAACTTCCGTTGCAGTTTTCTTAGAGTCTTCTTTCAAGTTGAAATTCGATGTAATTTTTTGTCCTTCATTTTTAAGGTCATCTAGTTTTGTCATTGCTTCACAGGTTTGGTCCACCTCGTGTTTGTTTATTTTGCTCTTCTCCCTAGAGAGACTGTCAGCAAGTAGTTTCACAGAATCTGCTTCTCCTTTAGGTTTAGCTTTTTTTTTCTTTTTTTTCTTTTTGGTATGTTCTTTATTATCATCTTCTGAAAGATCAGAGTCAGATTCTGACAGCGCATAAAATTTCCTGAGGTCCTCTGTAGAAGTATAGTTAACAGGGCGACCTCTTTTATCCACAGTGTATTTCAGCTTAAACTTCTTGTCATGAAACATAGCTCGGAATCGCTTGTCAATCTTGATTTTACGTTTTTTTTCTGGCATCTCCCAAAATCTGGGATCCCTAGTAACACAGCTAAACCGTCCATCGCTCAATATTTCCTCTTGGGATGACATTTTTGGTGCTGTTGAAGACTTGGACATCTACAACATGGAAAAAAACCCAAACAAAACACTTCTGATTTAAAAAAAAGATTGACATAGACCTAAATAAATAACTGGAAATAAAAAAATAATTAAGCAAGGTTAGATTTCTAACTTTTATCGAAAAAGTTCTTGTCAAAACCACATAAGACAATTTAAATGAGCCACAAATAATGCTGTGACTACACAGTCTTGGCCACAAATCTTTGCTTCCTCAGATAACAGACATGCAACTGAAAACACCATACTGGCTGCAGATACAGCTGTAAGGGATTCCCAGTCAATCCCGAACAGGACCTCAAGCAGATTCCTTGGAAGCCAGCCCTCACTTTTACTCCCTACAGAACTACAGTATTTCCCCTTTGAAGCACCACTTAGGAACGGAGCCAGCAAAAGCGCCACCGTTCTGGCGAGCTCAGGCCAGTGCCACC